GAGTGTATGTCTTAGTCCTCCTCAGGTTGGCATTCTACTCACCCATGTCTCAGTCCTGTTACTCTTCCCTTCAGGCTGTGGTGTCCTCCTCCTGGGGGCCCACTGCAGCCACCTCCCTGTAGCCACAGTGACGGGCCTGTGACTCTCAAGCTGGGCCACTCAGAGACAGTCTCCTGGATTTTTCAGTGAAGGAAAAGAAAACTGCTTATGTGGCAGAGGTGTGGATCTGGAGCTGTCTGAGGCCCTCCTTATATCCAGATGGAAGAAAACAATTTGCAAGAGGAGAAAATAAAGGCAAGACACAGACAGGAGCAGCGGTGAGTGGAGAGGGAAGACGAGGTCTAGTAATTTCTGTGTCTGCTTCATTTGTACCAGAAGTCCAGTTTCCGCCCCTGATTTTCCCATGGCTTTTGTCCTAACCCGTCCAAATTGAGTTTCTGTCATTTATAACCCAGTGATCCTAATTTAGGACAGTACATAGCTTTATTTTCATTTTAACCTTCACTTCAAATAATGACCTTTTCATCTTCTTTTAATTTTAATTTTTTATCATTGAGATAACACACAACTCAATAAAAAACCAAAGACCCCAATCCAAAAGTGGGCAGAAGAGCTAAATAGACGCTTCTCCAAAGAAGACAACCGATAGGGACACGAAAAAGTCTCGTCATCCCTCACCATCAGGGAAGTGAGACTGGCCCATATTAAAAAGACCAGGAACAAGTGCTGGCGAAGAGGTGGAGAGCAGGAACCCTCGTCCATGGCGTGGGAGTGCCGACTGGCCCAGTGCCTGTGGGAGCAGTGTGGAGGGAGCAGCCCTGGTCCAGTGCCTGTGGGAGCAGCCCTAAGATAGGAGAAACCTTCTTATCTTGAGATGTTTTACATAATATCCTTGCATATTGGCCTTTACATAGTTTATTTTCTTGTTTCAGAGATGTCTCCTCTCCCCATCCCTGTGCCTTGACTACCTCACTTCCCCCCCTTGCACCCCCCAGCCCCTTCTATGCTTCCCCCTTTTTTCTTTCTTTCTCTCCCAGACACAAAGCAGTTGTTGCCTAAGTTTATTCTGTTTCCACTATGATTCTGTTTTAGTAGCATGTCCTCCTTCCTTTCTTTTTAGAAATACATTTGTTAGCATGAGTAACCATCCTGTTGTTTCTGTTGTCATAATTAACACATCTGGTTGGCCTGGGTTTGTCTTGGATTTTTTCACTTTCCATTTTGATGCTTTAGAACAGGCAGGTTGGGACCCCAGCATCTTGATGGTGGACAGGTCGCCAGGGCAGTGGGCACCCTTGATTGGGCCCTTCCCTTCTGGATGGTTTCTGCCCTATTTTTGGTGGATGCTGTGCCCAGACCTTCCCGGGGCTGCAGCCTGCTCCCAAGGCGGGCCCTGATGTTCAGGGAGAAGTCCTCCCTCGCCGCAGCCGCCTGTGTCCTTAGTGTACCTGCTTCTCCCTTGAACTCTCCCAGCTGCCCGCAAAGCCCACCAATCCACGCAGACTCCAAACAGCGGTCTCCACGTCTGTCCCGTAATTTCCATCTCTATTCTAATAAGAGGTGTTGCAAGAAATGATTTCATGCCAAGCAATTTTCCCAGGTAGCTAAGTTATAAACAGGCACTCACTATCTTTCATCCCTCTGATTCCCTTTGCATATATCAAGGGTAAATCTGGTCCTTTATCAGTTTATTCACTGGTAAATATGTATTAACTGCTATGTGCCAATCATTTTTATAGACAATGAAGATACTGGGTGAATGAGAGTCTCTGACAGTAACAAGAACACAAATACATGTATCATACACTATTAGGTGGTGATAAATGCTGAAGTGAAAAGGCAGAATAAAGGGATAGAATAATGGAGTGGGGCTTGGGGGGACTTATTCAAATTTTATTTTATTATTTTGGGAAGAAAATAAGATTCCCATTACCATCCCTTACCCCACCTGTACCGTTCCCCGCCTCCCAACCTTGTCCTTCTAGTAACCTCAGTTTTCCACTGTTCATTGGTTTATGTTTATTTTGCTTTATCAGTTCATCTGCTTTGAGTCCTTATATTCCCCACATACATGAAATCATCCAGTATTTTTCTGGTTAATTTTGCTTCACATTATCCTCTCAAGCTCCTTCCATTTTGCTGCAAATGGCAGAATTTCATCTTTCCTTACAGCTGAAGCGTGTCCTATTGCATGTACAGACCGCAGCATCTCACCCAATCATCTGTCAGTGGCACTTAGGTTGCTTCTGTGACTCAGTTACCATAAATAATGCTGCGGTAAATGTGGCGCATAAATTTTTTTAAATTCATGGCTTCGTGTTCTTCAGATAGGTGCCCAGCTGCTGGATCATGTGGAGCTTCTACTTAGAGTTTTCAAAATAGTTCACACCACTTTCCAAAATGGCTGCATCTGTTTTCATTCCTACTAACAGTGCCTAAGAGCTCCTCTTCCTCGCATCCTCTCCAGAACTTGTTGTTAGGAGTCTTTTGATGTGTGCTGTTCTTACAGATGTGAGGCGATCCCTGGAGGTGGTATTGATTTGCATTGCCCTTGCTAAAAGTGGTGATGACGTGTTTTCCTGTCTGTTGGCCATCTGTGTATCCTCTGTGGAAATATGTCTGTTAGGATTTTCTGCCCACGTTTTAATTTCGTTTTTTGTTAAGGTAAAGGATTTCTTTGTGTGCCTTGGATATTAATCCCTCTTGGTTGTGTGATATGTAAATATCTTCTCCTATTCAGTACATTGTCTTTTTAGTCTAATTTTTTTTTTTTGGCCGTGTAAACAATTTTTAATTTGATATAATCCCAATTGTTTATTTGGGCTTTCATTTCCTTTGCCACAGGGATTGCTCCCCGCCCCCCCCCCCATTATCATTAATGTCATGGGACATATTGCCTATGCTTTCTTCTATATTTATGGTTTCAGGTCTTATATCCAAGTCTTTAATCCAATTTTAATTGTGCGTGCCTGTGTATGTGTGTGTGTGTGTGTGTGTATGTATGGAGTTAGAGCGCCAACTTCATTCTTTTACATGTCACTGTCCAGTTTTCCCAACACCATTGGCTCTTTTTTCATAAATTTGGTGTGGATATGTGCCTGCATTTATTTCTGTGCTTTTGGTTCTGTTCCATAGATCAGTATGTCTGTTTACATTCCAAGTATCCTGTTTAAATTATTGTTGCTTTATAATATAGTTTAAAATCAGGTAACATGATTCCTCCATTTTTCCTTTCTTTCACGATTGCTTTAGCTGTTCAAGTTGGGGATGGGGCTATTTTAGAGAGGTGGGTAGAAGGAAGGCATCACTGAGGAGGGGACATTTGAGTGGAAACCTGAATGAATTAGGAATCTCGCCATACAAAAGTTCCTTTCAGAAGTAACAGCTAGCATGACATTCTAAGGTGATCAGGAGTGGGGTGGGATTGCAAAATAGGCAGCCAGAGTGACTAGAGGAGAGGGTGGACAAGGGAAAGTAGAAATATGAAGCAGTTACAACAGAATTTTGGTAATGATTAAGAAGTGAGATTAGATAAAATGATCTTGGAAAAGATGGCAACATGAGGAAAGGCTTCTGACTGTTGATACTAATCCTTGAGGAAGTGGCTGGCAGGTAGAGCACCTCATTGGCCCTATCATCTGAATATACCCTGAGTTTCACCACTTCTAATGACCTCTGTTACTAGTAAATTGTAATTAGAAACATTAACTTTTAATTCATCACACATGGAGCCAAAAGAAACATGGTACTGGATCTTTAGGGACTCTTCAGTTTGCTTCTAGAAGGTGACTTGAGAAGAAATGAGCTGGTCCCAAGATGTGGAGAGGTAAGTGATGTCCTTTATTATTTGTCATGGGAGAGGGTGAGGAGAATAATATCATATATTTGAGTGAATATACTTTCATATCTGTGAGTTAGACTGAACAAGTGCTTATACAACGTGCATACACCGGTGTCAGATAAGAAAGTCAGACCCAGCAGATCTCCTGGCCTGCTCAGAGCGGCACGGATGGTGAGGGGCAATGCTGTGCTTGGCACTCAGCTCTTGGCCATGCTCTGGCACTCTGCTGATGGCGTCTGGTAGGATGTTATACCAAAGAAAAGCCTATTGCCTCCCTTCTCATGTTCCACCCCAGTGGTACCTCTCCAAAGCAGCAGATACTAGGTGTTGTGGGTACACAGCAGTCTGCTCATGCAGCCATCCATCTATTCATCCATTCTTCCGTCTCTCTGTCCATCCATCCATCCATGTATTTCTTTATCTGCTTCTTTCTAATTGGTACTTACATAGTAGCTTATGTCACCTGTGCTTTACATATTTGATCATACTGTACATATAGTTTAAATCTTCAGCCATATGTCATGGACGTACACCTTGGTCAGCATGTTTAGGTCTAGTTGATTCCTCTTCTCTGAGGCCGATGTAGCTCATTTATTGCATAGTAGGTATTACTTTTAAAAGGAAAATTCAGTAGCATATTTAACGTGGAAAATGTATTATCAATGTATGATATGATTTCATATTTTTATTTGCTTCTTGAAGTATTAGAAAAGGAGTGTGTTGATCATTCAAATGAAATTTATTTTATTTTTTTAAAGATTTATTTATTTATGCGTACAAGAACTGGGATACAGGCCAGAGGTGTGGGGGGTGAGAGGAGTCACCAGAGACAGAGTGGGGAGCAGAACAGGCAGATCTACTGAAATACACTGCTGAAGGGAGCTGCGGGGAGACAGGAGAGGTCTGCTGCGCCATGTGGGTATCTCCCTGGCCGGGGATCGAACTTGTGCTACAGTGGCTGCAGACAGCTTCATAGGTTGTGTTTAACCCCTTGCGCCACCAGGGAGGCCCTCAAATGAAATTTGCATTTCCCTTCTTGTTTGCTCCAGGACTTTTAGTTTTCTCATCTTTCATTTTGTCCTAATTTTCCTTAGAATAAAAACTAAGTGTCGTCTTAACTAATACTTTCTTTTCTAAGCAAATTCACTGTATTTTTCAGGTTATTATATCCGGGAAAAATCTAAGCAAGTCATAACACTGCTGATGGATGAACAGTTGCTGTATAAAGAGAGGGAAGTGGCGAGTCGGACTCGACGCCGGACCTCCTATTCTATGACGTTTCCCAAAAGATCACCCAGTACAGGAAACTCACCCACAGCATGCGCTTCTGCCCCCACCCCAGAAATTCCTGCTTCTGAGAAGAAGTATAAGCTTCGTAAGGTTGCAAGGCTCCGCAGTAAAAGTACGTAGAAGGAACACTGGCCTAAAATGCAGTAGGTACTGAGCATAGGGTTTTAGTACTAACGTGCTCAAACTGCTGGTACTGCGCTTCCAGCAGACGTAGCACTGTAGAGAACAAAATGAAGACTTATTCAGTAGAAAATTTATGACTTTTCTGAATGTGATTACCTGGGATTCAGTTGAAATGTTTTGGAGTTTAAAAGGCATCAAACTAGTGAGTACTCTACTAGGCGTCGTGATTCAGTTTGGAGATTTTAATAGAGTTTAATACCTCGCGGCCTGGGTATGTGTGCCTTTAGACTAGATTCTGGCAAATGAGGAAATCGACGTTTTCTAAAATGTGCTTCTAAATTCTGACAGTGCTCTAAATCTCTTCCACAACAGTGCCTGTGTGACATGACCCATTCCTAAAGCTTTACATCTGAACAACTGAGCTTTTCAAAAGGGGGGGACTTATTTATAATAGAAATCAGTAGGAGAAAGGAAATATTTTTTCTGCCATATTTGTTAAAACATCGAGAAATGACACTTTGCCCTTACTTCTCCAGTACAAAGCTTGCTGAAAAGCTGTGCATCAACACTGCATTAATCTTAAATTGTGTGTTAATGAAATGTGACTTCTCTAAACTTTGTGCCATAAGTAGTGAAGGTCATCGGTGTAACACACTTGCAGGTGTTTTCAGAGGTTTGCCTCCTAGCTTTATCACAAACATCTATTAAGCAAGATTCTACAGTACCGTAATCTCCCCATTCAGTTTTGCTTTCTGTGGTTTTAGTTAACCTGCGGTCAACCAGAGTCCGAAAATATGTACAACAAGGTATTTTGAGAGCAAGAAAGACCACGTTTACATAACTTTTATTACAGCATGTTGTTATAGTTGTTCCATTTTATTAGCTGCTACTGTTAATCTCTTCGTGGGCATTTTTAAAAATGAAACTTTACGTTAGGTATGCATAGGAAACAAATACATGTCAGGGATGGTGCTCTCTGCAGTTCTGTAAGGGGTAACTGCTGTATACACTATGAATAGATCATCCAAACATTATTTAAAAAATGTTAATAGTCATACCAACACAGACTCCTCCTGCTGTTAAAGTACTTGCCTGACTCAGGCAACCTCATTTTCAGAGGTTACTCAGTTTACACTTCTAAGGACGTGGAAAGATGAGAAAGCCATTGTAATTCTAATAGTAAACGCCACTCAGTGCTTCTAGAGGGACTGGAACCCTTTTCTGGTAGCTTTCCATACCTGTTGAACTACATTTCCAAAAGAGAGACCCATTCTGAAATTTTCTCACAGAAGCCTTAAATTCAAACTGACATGATAAAGGAATAACAGGGTAAAATAACGAATTATGACTCATCCAGAGTTTCCTCACCCCTTTTACTACTTCTCTGCTGTATTTCTTACAGTTCCTTTCTCCATTTTTTCCCTCTTCATTATAAATGTATGGTTAACATATTTATTATTTGAAGTCTGGCTATCTAGCAGAATTTGGAGCTATACCAGTGAATAAATCAAAATCTCTTTCATCTTGGAGCAAATATTCTAGTGACAGAGACAAATATATGAATCACACATAAACAAAGCAGATATAAAACATTATGTCAAATAATGACAAGTCCTATAAAGAGAAGGGGAGCAGAGTCAGGGGACAGAGAGTGATAGGGAGACTTTATTTTAGGAGGGGTAGTGCTGGAGGGCTTTTTGGAGGAAGGTGAATATTTAAGTAGAGACCTGAATGAAGTGGGGGAGCAATGTGTGTTTATCTGGGGTATCCCAGGCAGAGGTATAGCAGGTGCAAACGTTCTGAAACTGGAGTGAACTTGTCATGCTTAGCTGAAAGCAAGGAAAATGAGTTCTTAAATTGCTACAAGAGTAGCTCAACTCTGAGCCATTTTTATGATTCATACAAGGAAATCTAGTTTATTGCTTTATAGGCACTGCTTTTTAAAACAATCCAAAATGATATTCTCTAGCTTTGTAACATATCTTACTAGACTGAGCTCTGAATTACTTCTGACTACTTAAAAAAGTCTACTTTCAAATGAAGATTTACTACAATTTTTTAATACTACCAACATGTATTGAGCACCAGCTGACGATTTGCCAAACACTGTTCTAAGAAATGGGGTGTGTTTCTGCTCCCGTGGAGGTTATATCTAGCAATGAGCTTGCAAATCTGTTTCAAGAAATGATGTTAAAAAGAGTTTTGGTCACTGATCTTATCACTGAAGTGAATCTATAGTAAGAGAACTATTTAAAGTGAATGTAAATTTGTTAAAAATCTGTTACATTATTTCAAAACCTAGTTTTTCCGTTACCATTTATGCACATACATACTAGATATATAAAGGTGTGTGTTTGTATTCAAAACAGAGTAATTGGATTAGGCAGGCTTACTAATACTAAGCCTTTCCACGTAGCATTTAAATCTAAAGCTGTATTTGAAAGGAAGAGAGAGGAAACTGACAATTTGTGTGTGTGTGTAATATAGGAAAAGAAATTGGGTCATTCTTAGTGAGACAGAATTAGTAAATGAGAACTCGGAGATTGGTGGATCAGTTAGAAATTGGCACACCCATAAGTGATAATATTAGAGGCCACAAAAATAGTCATGGCTTAAACATTATAGGACTTCTCTCTTTTGAAATAATCCAGAATTAGGCATTCTTAGACTGGCATCACTCTTTATGATGTTGAGGACCCATGGCTCTTTCTGCCTTGTTGTTCCACCAAACTCACCAGCAGCATGTGATTCCATTTCATGATCCAAGCTAGCTGCTTGCACTTCAGCCATCACATCTGCATTCTAATCTGTAGCAAAGATGTTGAAAATATGAATGCACCTTCTTTTTAAGGACACTTATTGAAATTGCTAATAACATTTTGACTTACATATTGCTTACACTTAGTCACATGGAGTCTTCTAGCTGCAAGGGAGGCTGATAAATGTAGGCTTTCTACTGGGCAGCCATGTACCCAGATGAAAGTTAGAGCATCTACTATTAAGACAGATGGGGAGAATAAATATGGAGAACAACAAATAGTCCCTACCATAGTAGGAAGAAATGAAAATAAAAAATGAATTAATCATGGTAACACATGGTTATCTACTAAATGGAATAGAGAATACAAGTTTGAATATGTAGAAAATGTGGGCAGATAGTTGAGAGTACTCAGCACAGTTTATACAGGACATAATAATCAGTATTTGGAAATTGCAGTTTGTTACGACTAGCAACTAAGAACCATTGTAGGCCTTAGAGAACAGAAGGGATGTTTCGCTTAGTCACAGAACTTAGCTTTCTTATTACTGAAAACAGCTGTTGGGAGAAGATAATTCTTATTGCTTTGTGTAGAAATGAAGAGGATACGAATGGGAGGGAAGATTTGTAAGAGACAGTTGTTTCAACCAGGCATCTAGGACCTGCCTCCAGGGTTATTGAAATGAGGGAAAGGTAATGTTTCAAGATAGAATGTAAAGAGGGAATGGGGTGATATATTAGAGAAGAAAGAGAGAAATTGAAAATGACTCTTAACATTTGAATCAGAGAAATGGAGGCAGGTGATGATGGTATCTTACAGGTAAATTTCCATTGGAAGGAATTTGGAGAAGCCTCTAAATTATTTAGTTATAATGAAATGTAAAATTGAGTGCAGTGCTAGAAATCTGATTCCTAGCTAGGCTTGAGGATCTAGAGCAGAAACAGCTGTGCCAAGCTTCTTTGTGGTAAATTAGCGAGGGGAAAGAGGTAGTTTAGAGAAGGTGTTATACACACTTCACTACTTCTCTGCTTTTTTCTATTCCTGGATGTTTTCCCCAAGCTTTAATTCTAATAGATAGCTTGGGTGGGTTTTGGTTAGGTGATTTTGATGTTTGAGGGAAAAGAGGCGCTCAAGTATAATTGCTGCTTGATGGCACCACAGCAAACTATAAAAAGCACAGTTATAACCCAGCTCTCCTGAGTTACAAGCATGTAGTTAGGTTCTTTCCTTAGAGGTAGTGATGATGAAAACTACCACTTGGGCCACCAAAGCACCCCCTCCCTTGGTCATGTGGTCTTCCCAAAGAACCCTTTAGTAGATTTCCTTGCAATGGAACTTTCCCGTAGAGCAGCGTTGTTGTGGTCTGTGGTAACATCCTCTTTCGTGGAAGAATTTCCCATGAATCATACATGATTATTGTTGGACCAAAAGTTAACATTGCAAAGTAGTTGTCATGATTTTATGATGTTACTTCCTGCAGTATACCGTTTGCTTAACAGAGTTGATGTGGAGTCATACTTGGTTGCCTTATTACACACAGATTAGACAGCAGTGCTAATGGAGCAAATGGTGGTTGCTGCTAAAACATTTTCACTGATGAATGCCAAGCAGTTGTTTTTTTTAAATTTAAAAATAATTACACACAAAAAACTTTAATGACAACATATCCCTATGACTCCATACCAACCACTGTTAACATCTTAGAATATTTACTTCCAGTCTTCTTATTTTTCCTCTTTTGTTATTGTTTCAGAAAAATCTTTTAATAAAAGTAATACAGGCTCACTATCAAGAGTCAATCACTTCCTATTCCATTACTCAGAAATAATCATAGCTTATTTTAGATGAACATATACTGTAGGCATCTTTCCATAAATACATATAAAAAGATGAATAACTGAAGATACATTATTTTTATAAAAATGAAATTATATTAGGTTTTTTTTTTTAAGTAAACATTTCAGGTCAACTTCTTGCAATAAGATGTAATTAGGAGTGCCAAAAATACATTTATTGCACAAAAACACAAAAATTGGCAATGACATTATTTGAGACCCTTCTGACTTAACAAAAGGTTCAGGAAGTCTCCAAGGATCTGTCCTTCCAAATATTTTATTTTATTTTATTTTATTTTATAGAAGCATGTTTTATTTATTTATTTGTTTGTTTGTTTGTTTGGTTTATACATGCACTGGGTACAGTCAGAAGTGCGGGAGGGTGAGAGAATTCA